ATCTAGAAACGACACAAGCCTCTTTATTTTTTCCTTCAATAAAACAATAGTTGTTTGCTTTCTTGGAACATTTACTTTCAATTTTATTTCATGTTTTCCACCAGCGTCTTTGTTCCCAAACACCCAGAAGTCCTGCATTTCTGAAACACCACCAACAGCACAGGACTAAGTCATCAAAGGCAAAGTGAGCTTGAAGAACTCATCTCGCCTGGCCTGTCAAGAAGGTGTGCAGAGCCTGCGTAGGAATGCAGTCTGTTGCTATTCTCTTAGGGCAGTTATGTCAATGTTGCCTCACAGCAAAGCACTGAGTTAGCGTTTTGAGCAGTAGGCAAGGCAGGCAGAGGAATAACTTTACTTTAACCTAGGTGACTGCTAACACTTGGGTTTACATGGCCATTCTCTTCCTGGAAAAAAAAAATATGTTTCCAGATTTTATAGCTCTTAGGGTTATCAGTCATCAAGATCAAGGGCTTTTATACATAGCTCTTAATTGGGATGGCAGAAAGCCACGTGCAGCAGATGTAAACAATTGACTTTCTGAGCCTGGAATTACAGACCCTCTAGTGGGATTAATCCTTTTCCTTGGTCACCATCCCTAGAAAACAGAAAGGGCAAGAAACATAGACTTATAATGTCAATGATACCAAAACAACTGTGAAACAGAAATATCTCCAATATGATCTTCTCGGTGGTTTGTATTAAAGGAATTTGTGATGGCCACACAAACAACACACATAACCATAAACTGGACAACAAAATGCTCAAAAATAATGCAATAAGAGCGATTTAGCCAGGCGGTAATGGTACACTTTAATCCCAGTCCAGCACTCAGGAGGCAGAGGCAGGTGGATCTCTGTGAGTTTGAGGAAAGGCCAGCCTGGTCTACAGAGTGAGTTCTAAGACAGGGCTGTTACAAAGAGAAACCTTGTCTCAAAAACAAACAAAAAAGAGCAATTCAATTATTGAAGTTTCATTTTTTTCTAATTCCTTTACCTTTGGAATGAATTGGCTGAAGATCACTGGGCCCAGGGACATTGTACTGGTGCTCTGCTGCTCTCGCCTGCCATCCTCTTGGCTTACTTGCTTGCTTGAATTAGCTATTCTCTGGCTTTTGATGACTCTCCGCTTTGCAGATGGAACAGCTTCCAGGTGTTGGTAGAATCAAGGCTCTACTCTACCCTGATAGGAAACACCAGTAACTCGTTCTCTAAAATACTGTACCGTGTATGCTACTTCAAAGTCAAGTGATCTACGATCTGTGTATAATGGTGGAATATGTACTGTGACTATAAATAGAAGGTTTATATTTACCTTCTCTCTCTTTGAGAAAACTAATTCGGGTGCTGGAAAAGTGTACTAGAAAGTGGTTAAGAGTATAGAATCCTCTTACAGCGAACTTGAGCTCAATTCCCACCAACCATGGTGAGCAGCTCACAATCCTTTTGTTATTCTAAATGCAGGGGGTTTGACGCCCCCTGTTGGCCTCTTAGGGCACTGCACCCTGTACACAGCCCTCCTCCTACATACACATACACACTTAATTTTAAAAATAAAAACAAAATTTTAAGTTCTTTATCGTTCTTTAACTTTGCAATATCATCAAACTTTCCACATGAGTATAAAACTTGGAATAACACATACTATTGTTTCTGAGCCCACCACCCACCAAACATTATTAAAAAGGCAGAAATAACATAATCATACGTAGGGCTTTTGTTCCTGCCATTGATTTTTCTCTATATAGGCTTAGGTTTTCATGACTGTTTTTTGAGACACAGGCTTGCTAAATAGACCAGGCTGGCCCTAAAGCTCTGTGATCCTACTACAGGAGCCCCCAGAGGGTTCCAATTATGATTAACACTTATTTAGCTCTTACTTGTAGATAACAACACTTACCTTATTTCTAGGTTTGTTTTGTTCTGCGTGCTGGTGATGGAACCCAGGTCTGTGCACGCTGTGTAAGTGCAATGTCACTGAGACACACTCAGTGCCAGAGTTTAGTTCTTACCATTGCTAAAAAGACAGGAGCATATAAAATCGGAGTTATATTTGTAAATGAAAGCAACTGTGTCTCTTCTGACTTCTCCAAAAATGTTTTAAGATTTATTTATTATGTATACAGTGTTCTGCCTGCATATATCCCTGCATGCCAGAAGAGGGCACCAAATGTCATTACAGATGGTTGTGAGGCAAAAAAAAAAAAAAAAAAAAAGGTGGGGTGAGTAGCTTTCCCTCATCTTGAAGAAAATGACAGAACCAGTACCTGGAGACCAAATGGCTGCTGAGCTTCTTGCACCAGCCAAGCATGTTCTGAAATCCCCTTGGGTCTTTACTACACATTGCACATATCAATCCCTTAAGTGCAAGCAAACACAGACAGTTGCTGGTTTACAATGGCTCAGCATCTTATTTTAAAATTTGTTAAATAAAAACTGTATCTGGGCCGGGCGTTGGTGGCACATGCCTTTAATCCCAGCACTCGGGAGGCAGAGGCAGTCGGATCTCTGTGAGTTTCAGTCCAGCCTGGTCTACAGAGTGAGTGCCAGGATAGGCTCCAAAGCTACACAGATAAACCCTGTCTTGAAAAACAAAAAAAGCAAAAACAAACAAACAAACAAACAAAAACCACTATATTTGGGATTTCTAATTTAACAGTTTTCCTAGGACAAGGAACCATATTTTTTAAAGTTTTTCTATCTACTGTCTAGGTCAGGTTGGCCGTGGATTTGTGGCAATCCTGTGCTGTGGAATAATTGTTCTGTACATTGTGAAGAGGTGTTGCTCTCATTGTTAATAAAGAGCCAACTGGCCATTAGCTAACCAGAAAGAGGTCAGGTGGGAGAGCCAGACTGAGAGCCAGAGGTCACTAGAAAGAAGGGTGGAGTTGGCCAAGCGTGTTAGAGCACACCTTTAATCCCAGCTCTCGAGGAGGCAGAAGCAGGTGGATCTCTGTAAATTTGAGGCCAGCCTGGTCTACAGATTGAGTTCCAGGACAGCCAGGGCTACACAGAGAAACCCTGTCTCAAAAACTCAAAACAAACAAAGAAGCCACATGGTAGAGTATAGGTAAGAAATATGGGTTAATTTAAGTTGTAAGAGCTAGTTAGTTACAAGCCTAAGCTATTTATAATTAAAGCATTTATAATTAAAGTCTCTGTGTGGTTATTTGGGAATGGGCTGCTGGGACGGACGAGAAACCCCACCTAAAATTCTGCCTTGGCCTTTTGGGTGCTGGGATTACTGGCATGTACCACTAGGTCTGACCAGACTTAGAATACTTTTAATTTACAATGGGTTTATCAAATGTAATATTACCAAAAAAGAAAATGTGTGACATCACAAACGAAGATGTATCTGTGTAGCCAAGTAGTCACTTCTCTTTATCCAACAAACTGAATCACTGTTCCTAGGTAACATGTATGGTTAGGTTCCTCCAAGTTGCTGGTGTCTCTGTCCACAAACAAACACAGTGCTGGTTCAGTAACATGGAGCGCTCTGCCAACACCGTAATCTGTGTACATACCCTTCTTAATGCATGCCCCTTAGGCGATAAAAGCATTGGATGACCACTTCCACAGGACGCTTAGTGGCCATTTTAAATAGAAAAGGCCAGAGAAATGGCTCAGTGGGCAAAGGCACCAGCTGCCAAACCTTACAATTGGAGTTTGATTCCAGAGAACCCGAAGGAGGGAAGGAGAGTGATAAGTTATCTTCTGACCTTCACATGCTTGCTGTGGCACATGTATCATTAACATGTGCACACACTCATGCACGCATGAATGCATGTGCACACAAACACACACACACACACACACACAGAGAGAGTAATTTTTAAAAAGGAAAGGGGGGGCACAAAGAAGAAAAAAGCATGATGTTACAACTGTGAAGGAAGCATAGAACTGTACTGAACACCAGCTATGTTGAATTCCATTTATTCCGCAGGTGGTACTGGCACCTGCCTTTAGTCCCAGCACTTGGGAAGCAAAGGCAGGTGGATTTCTTGAGGCCAGTCTAGTTTATAGAGCAAGTTTCAGCACAGCCAGGACAACACAGAAACCCTGCCTCAAAACAAAACAAAACAAAATTCCACTAATTTATCAAATGACTCAATGATTTGGGGACATGAATACATTTTAGATGCAGACAGATTTCTAAATACAACAATCTACAAAAAGTAAAGGCTGACTGTACCCATTAACCCCCTCACCATAACTAGGCAGCTAGCTGCAGAGTGGCACTGGGACACCAGGAAAAGGACCGGGCTGCGACCACCTCACCACCTGAGGTCTCAGGGTTCTTAGAATCAGGTTCCTCATTTTAACAACAGAAAAACTGCAATTTTCTCAAATGCCTGTCAAATTTATTCCTGAGTACATCAACCACAACTGTCATCTTTCTGAATAAACCAAGCCAACAGCTGAAGCCACAGTTTATATCACCCATGAACTTTTCCTGTATTAATTCCAAGAGCATTGAATCCTTCCAAATAAACAAGTTAATAATCACCTTATAACATAGTGGCCTTTCTGATTGCATACACACTTCAGGTGACACCTGGTGTGGGTCCTCTGTGAGAGCAGCAAGCCACCTCTCCAATGCCCCACTAGATTACTTAACTAAAACTTGCCAAAGGACACTCTGAGTCCCATGACTTTTATGACAAATCCATACGGACTTTTCAAATACACAAACAGACCTACACTCAGCCTCCAATGCAGTGTTGCAATTACCTCACTTGGGCTGGAGCTAACTGGCTCAGAGGTGAAGAGTATCTCACTGCAGGTCTAGGGAGATGGCTCAGTGATGAGTATATATACATTGATCTTCAAATGTCCCGAGTTTGGTTCCCGGCACACACGTTGCCTTCCTTAAAGTCCAGAGGGATCTGGTACTGTTGGCCTCTGTGGACACTTGCACACAGGTGCACATACCCCGGTCCCCACAGACACACATACATAATATAAAAGAAAATCTTTTTAAAAAGGAATTATCTCTCCAGAGCCTTTAATTTACAAAACTTTATTGTGTGGACAGTTGGACACAGATCACACAGGATCTAATCCTGTTCTCAGCAAAGCTATGATGGCATCAACAAGGCCAGGCATCTTCGATTACCTTAACACTTCACAACTGAACATTTATTTCTAACACTATCATGGCTTATCTTTACATTTCACAATTGAACATTTATTTCTAGCATGTAAAATATCAAATACATCTGAATTATATCTTTCCCACAGGGTTTCATAATAGTTAAAGACAATTTAAATGCTATCCCAGTCAATACATGAAACTGAAAATGGCATTTCCAATAATTTCAGAGTTACTGGAAGTGTACTGTCGTCATTTTCTTGAAAGGAACTTGGCACAAAAGGCAGCAGAGAGGTCTTTGTAAGGGGTCTCTGAATCCGACTTGGTTGGTGGTATCCGGCAAAGTTGTCGGAATCCAGGGGAGCGGAGCAGCAGATTCTGGGAGAGGCCCATGAGGCTGGAGCACAGCCAGTAGAGAACAAGAGACTAGAGAGAGTACATGACAGTTAGCATCTGCTCCTGTATGGGGGAGGTTCAGTATAAACACCGCACCATTCTGAACAAGCATCAAGATAGTGAATGGGGCTGGCCAGGCAAGAAAGGGTGTCAACACCAAAAAGCAGATCACAGTGTTTTTCAGCAGACATGACTGGACAGGGCCAGACAGACAGGGCCAGGAATCACCCTCCCTTCTTTAACTGAGGATATTCTTCCCACCACAGGTGCTGACAAGCTGATTATGCAGATAGATGGTGGGAGCCTGGGGAAGTAGTCACTTCCCATGCAATCTTACTAGGCTTCATTTCCCCCTTTTATTAGTCTTTCCCAATTCCTCAACAACTACTATTTCCTATCGTCTAGGATTTCTTCGTTGACAACTTACCATCAGGTTTCTTGTGTGACAGAACCCAGGCTGCCATTTCAAACTAAGCCCTGCAGCTTTTCTGTACATACATGTGTGTCCTGTACATATGTGTGTCTCAAGCTTTGTGTGGGCATCGGAAAGCAGTAAGGTCTCAGAAACAAAACCACATGGCTGCCTGGGATGAAGCTCTCCAGGTCTGAATCCTGTTCACTATTATTTGGCTTTGTACTGGTTATTTCTTTTGCTTCACTTTCCTATCTGTAAAATGGGACCTTAAAGGGCTTATGAGAGATTGCATTTGGACAGAATGGTTACCCACAGCATGTGATCCATAGTAAGTATCTGCATTTGTTTAAGGTGAGACCTCAAGGGCAGCAGTAATACATCAAAGGCTGATCAGCACAGCAGTTACAGACTACAGAACCAAATCAGTTGTCTAACTCCTCTTGCTTCAGGGTCCTCATCACTAAAGTGGGAGATGGTTTTTATTGTTTTGTTTGTTTCATTTTGAGACAGGGTTTCTCTGTGTAGCCCTGGCTGTTATGGAACTCACTCTGCAGACCAGGCTGGCCTCAAACTCAGAGATCCACCTGCCTCTGCCTACTGAGCACTGGAATTAAAGGTGTGCACCATCACTGTCTGGCCCATTAAAGTGGGAGACTGTACCAGTGCCTGCCTTACTGTATCACCGGGAGATTTATAAGGCAATATACAAAAACACACTGAGAGTGCCTAGGGCTGGCAAGATGGGCCAGCTGGTAAAGGTGCTTACCACCAAACCAGATATGAGTTCAATCCCTGGAAGCCACATGGTAGGAGAGAACTGACTCTAGGAGGCCATCTTGTGACATCTACACATGTACCCTGACACATTCAGTGTCTGGCATAAAACCAGGGTGCCTAAACATCAGGCTGGTGCATCCAGACAGAAATATAAGCTGCCATCTACATAACAATTCATTTTCTTGTTGAGAAACTGCAACTTTCTGCCCATCTAATCTGAACTACTGGCAACTGGATTCTACTTCAGGGCTTCATGTTGGCCCCGAGTAAAGAAGAAAATGTCCCTGACACAGCTTCTGACAACTTCTAAAGTTATCTGGGGGAAATATACAAAGGACTGAAGTAATTGGCTTACTTAAGTATCAACAGGGACAAGTGAACCAAACCCACTGTACAAGGTTAAGGAGTACCACAATTCAAATCAAAATGGACTTGGCAATGTTTTCTTTTTTAAGTGCTATAGTCCTTGGCCCAGTCTATATGGAAGTTGTTCAATGTATTAGCTAGTCAAATAGGTAAGTATTAGACTATGCAAGGTGCTCTGTCAAATTAAAATAGAGGAAGTGGAGTAAGGAGTTTGACGGGAGAGCTGGACACATCTATGAGAAAGATGAACCAACCAATCCTGGCAATAGTGACACAATCATCCTCAACAGCAAGAGTCAAGTGGGTAAAAGGCAGCCCCCAAACAGCAGGATGCCAGGCTTCGTGCAAGCTAAACATGGCCACATGCAACACTACTGTTACTCACAGAAGGAACTGTTGCAGCCACCGGGATCATCAGCACAGATACAGCTCGGACAAAGTGTGTAACATACATTTGAAAACGAGACATTGAAAGCTTTTGGAGAGCAAAAATCTGAAGTAGAATACACAAACCATAATTACTAAAATGCACATTAAATCAGATAAACTTTAAAACACACACTGAAGCCCAGGCTTTGTGGAACACTCTTAAAATCCTGGTATCTGCATTGGAACAGCAACTCAAGGTCAATTTTGGCTTACAGATTTGAAAGATAGGCTACATGAGACAGCTTTAAGATAGGGTTTCATTATGTATCTCTGACTGGCCTGGAACATACTCAGTAGATTGGGATAGCCTCAAACACTGTCTCTGCTGGGATTACAGGTGTGTATCACCACAACTTGCTAAAAGCTGATTTGTGACTAGCTTCCACCAATACCTTTAAGGGTTGGCACCGTGGTTAAATGGCAGAGCACTTGACCTTATGTGTACAAGGCTGTGGCCTCCATATCCAGCACTTAAACACGATTTCAACACCAATGAACTTATGTAACTAACCATCTATCTCCAAGGCTAGGAACGGTTAGGCTTTCTGTGTGTGTGTGAAGCATGGGGGCTGTGACTGCAAAGGGAAATCCTGATGTTGCTGTTGGTTTTGTGAGACAGGCCCTCACGGTGTAGGGATCATGTTGCCACAACTCTCCAGGTGATGAGACTATAGACAGGTGTCCCCACACCTGGCAGCCCTAAATTCCCAGAGATTCATAACCTTACAGGAGTTTTAACTCTTGTGTGCCACCTTCCCTTCCTAAAATAAAGTAGCAATAATATAGTCCTCACAGAGCTAATCTGTGAATTAGATAATTCATGTGAACTGTTCAGAGGAACCCAGGACACAATACTGTCAAATTATACATTTTACCAGACATTAGATGACATTAGAACAAGACTACAGCACTAACAGGAATTCACTCAGGCCTTCTATTTATCACCCCTTTCTGTCTACCAAATAGTCACCGGACACAAACCAAGAAGCTGTACTGTGCTCTTAAGGAAGAATATTTACACTGCACATGGCATGTTTCCTCAACAAAATTTCACTGATGGCTTTAGATTCTGAATATTTACACTGCACATGGCATGTTTCCTCAACAAAATTTCTCTGATGGCTTTAGATTTTTTTTTTTTTTTTTTCTTTAAAAAAAAAAAAATGTGTACGGGTGTTTTGCCTACACACGTCTGTGTGCCACATGTGTGCGTGGTGCTTATGGGGTTCAAAAGAGGGTGTTAGGGTTGGAGTTGGAACTTGTTAAGCCTGTTGTGAGCAACCACATGGATGTTGTTTAGTGAGCCCAGGACTGTGCAAGAGCAGCCAGTGCTCTTAACCACCAAGCTATCTCTCCAGTCCCATCTTTTGTTTTACACCGGGACACACCTATCCTAAAGTAGCAGAGAACTCCCTGTGTTTCTGAAAATGACCTTGAACTTCTGTCACTCTTACAGCCAGGCCCCACTACACCCAGTGCATCCAGTGCTGGGGCAGAGATCCCTGGGCTCAGGAATACGAGGCAATCATTCCACCAAATGAACTATATTCCTAGCACCAGGGCCTTAAAAAGTAGGTCTCTGCTAGCTACAGACAAGATGTATGAGCTCTTTATAAAATCACAAGCATACTTTCTGTGTACTGTTGAGTGAAGCACTATGGGTAACAGACGAGACAAATGAAAAATCCTACTTTTCATGTATGTTCCTTTATGTTATCTCATCAAAAAATTCAAATGATTATACTAAGTTATTTATTAAGAAAATGGCAGTGGGTTACTTATGGTTTTCTACCAATAAATTCACATAATAGGTATACAAATCCCATTCAATTGTGGATTAAAACCAGACTGGCCAGGCATTTAAATCTTTTTATTTTATTTATTTATTTATTTATTTATTTAATTTATTTTTTGGAGACCGGTTCTCACTCCATGTAGCCCTGGTTGGACTTGAGCTTGCAGAGATCTGCCAGCCTCTGCCTCCTGAGCACTGGGATTAAAGGAGAGCCAGCACACCCAACTTTTATTACTATTTCCCCCCCATGGCCTGGTCTTTTGAGATGGTCTTGTTATGTAGCCTAGGATGGCTTTGAATTTGTGATTCTCCTGCCTCTGCTTCCTGAGTGCTAGGTCTAAACATGAGCAGCCATGCCTGGCTTTAGTGTTCTTCCTTTAATAATAAGGATTCCAACACCCAGAGACATAAAGGAGCTGATCTGACATTAGAATTCAGAGCTATGTCCAACAAAGCATATGTGCATATGATGTCAGAGCAGCAGCAGCAACAACCCTAATGACTTAAATGGTCAACAAACCCAAATGTTAACCACTAACCTCCACTATTAGTAAATTGACCACACCAACGGAGACAGGCAGAATCCAAGTGGAGTCCACTGCAGTGAGATCAGGAAACCACAGGACCCCACCAGCAGCTAACTGCTCCTGAACAGAAACACCTGCTGAGACAGTTTAAACACAAAACAACAGGATTCCTGAGGACAGCTGAGAGACATCAGAAGCACACAGCCTGAAGATCTGCACTGGTTAGTCAAGCTACTTATATGCAATTTTTTGGTTTTGTTTTCTCAACATAGATTGTTTATGATTAAGATTCTAAATTCCGTAATGTAAGAAAGACAATAAACGATAGTTATGAGACTAGAATTGTTTTTTCTATTGGAATGCAGCAATAAAGAATTTGAGAGATGAGGATTTCTATAATGGTTTTACCTTCTGAGTGTGCTGCCCCTGTGCTAAAGTTCCGGAGGGCAACGGATATGAAGATCCACATTGGAAGCTGGACCCAGACTAACACAGTGGCTTTGAAAGGATGGCAGTTGTCACGAACATACAGATCTGAAACAAGCCTCCGCATATTCTTTAGATAAGTGAGCCTAAAGTGAGGGAACAGAGAGAAACATCATCTGACCACTAGCAAGAGCTTCACCCTATGGCACACACACCCCTTCTGTAGGGATGCTGAAGGGTTCAACCATCATAAGCAGTTAAGGGGACAGCCACCAAACAGAAGGCACAAAGTCTTTTATTAGACACTGTCAGACTACAGCTTTAGTCTCTAATGATCTCTGGCCAGTAAGATTTTAAAAAAACATTTTATTTATCATATTTTCTGGTGTGTGTGTGTGTGTGTGTGTGTGTGAACAATACATGCACCATACAGCAAACTGACACCTACTTACATGCACAGCACCCTTAACTTTCACAAAACTTACACCAAACCTTAACACAGTATTCAATTCACTGCCATCTTTATCTGATCATGGCTCTCTTTTCAATGGGTCCTCCAGAATAGAAGTCAGATGTGGTAGCACACATCTGTAATCCAAGCACTTGTGGGGGGAGGGGAATGAGGAGTTCAAGTACTGGGAGGCTGAGATGGGAGGACCATTCAGCTCCTCAGGAATTAGGATAAAGCCCGTTTCTTCATTTATGTGTTTTCACTCCGATACATAAAACATGCTACACATGATTTATTAGTATGAATGACATAAATGAACCAATCGAGAGAATACCTAAATCTGTATTTATACATTTCATGATTACAGGCGTAATACTGCATACCTGGCAACTCTCTTGGACCAACCAAACTGATGTGCACGAACTGCAACTTCTTGGTTAAGGTGCTTGGCGATGTTTTTGATTTCTGGTTGGAGGTTTTCCACCTAACTAAAGAAAAAGTTGTTTTTATGAGCACATAAAAGATATTTATTGATAACCACTGCTATCTTCGCTTCAGCTGTCAACTTGGCACCATCCGGGAGAGAAGAGCTCAATAAGAAATTTCATCCATCAGATTAGCTTACGGGGTTGTTTTTTTGTTTTTGTTTTTTTTTTTTATCACTAACTGACATAGAAGAACCCAGTCCACTGTGGGCCACCATCCCCTAGGCATTCGAGCGGCTATATAGAAACGCCAGTAAGCAGTTTTCCACTATGGTTTCTGCTTCACTTTCTGTCCGGTTGTGCCTCCATGACAGACTATAACCTGAAAGCCAAGTAATCCCTTTCCTCTCCTGTTCTCTATCAAGTCAGTGTCATTTGACAGCAGCACAATCAATAAAGCTCATATATTCTGTTCCCTCAACTATTTACAAGTCATGTTTACTGATCTCATTTGTAATCCGAAAAATGTAATTAGAAGATATTTAGCTTGCTTAAAATATCTTTAGTCACAAACTTAAATTCCAGTTTGTACACCTATCTGGGCAATCACACTGATTTGCATGAACTGCAACTTCTTGGTTAAGGGGTGCTTGGTGATATCTTCTATCTGGCTGTGCATAACCTGAAATAACTCTGAAATGATAACTACTTCATAGGATTTTGAGACTTAAATGAAAACTGCATCCCAGATCTTAATGTTCCTTCCTTAGATAGGCCAGTAGTAGAGAAAACAGCACTTCAATTGTTACGTTAAAATCCCACGGATTCCCACTGTGACTGTCTGCCTTAGTCCTGTTGCTGCTTCCCTTGCCGACAATCTTCTGTGAAATTTCAACTTCTCAAGATAACTGGTGCTAACTTCATCTCACATCACTAGGTAGCCAAGGAAAGACAATGCTATACCGATTCCACAGGAAAAAAGTGAAGCCCTAAAAGGCCAAGTCAAGGTCACAACTTTAACAGACACAGGGTCGTAGATCGTAGGTCCAGAGTGACAATCCAAGTCCGCAAAGGGTTAACTTAGTAAATTCTTTCTAATAATAAAGAGCAGTAAGAATAGTTAGGGACAAGTAATGCTGCAGACACTGTCAAAACGTTTACGTCACTACTAATGCTACCGGTTCCTCAGTGCCATTTCTTCTGCAGACTCGTCTCAATCAAAAGTTTAGGAAACACTTGTATTTCATATAAAGACCTGATCGGTCGGATGAACTGGAAGGTACTCGAGTAACCAACCACTCATCATTTAACACACGCAATACTAATTATTTTAGCAAAGCAACAAGAAGGCTGCCCGGGAACCGACGCCCCTCACCTTAGCCAGGATGTAGTGCTGATAGGCGGCCAGAGGTAATGTGACAGCGCCGCGCAGGGCCACGGTGCTGAGCATGATGCTGCCCCACCAGGGCAGGCCGGTGGCGGCGTGCGCACCTAGCAGCACTTCCTCCGCAGCGCGCACGGGCGCCGACGCTGCCAGGGCCTCGTACCATCCGCCTGGAGCGGCCGCCGACACCGACGCGGCCGCCCATACCGGGAGGGCAGGGAGCCGCGCGTTACTCTGGCCGGGCTGCAGCCCAAGTGCCCGGAGCCGCAAGGTGGACAGTGTCCGGAGCCATCCGGGACCCGAGCGCCACAGCATGCCAATTCCACTGCGAGGACCAGTTAGGTCGGCGCCCCAGGGGACCCCGCGCGTCTGGAGGATGAGCGCATGCGCCGGCCTGAGGCCACGCCTGACGGTCCCAGCCGAAGCGGTGACGTCTAGAGTCGCGCTACAGATGACGTGTAAAAGCCCCGCCTTTCCCACGCGGCACTGGGCAGCAAGCAGCTAGCACGGGACTTCTTCCCTTGTGAGAGTGGAGCTCCAAGCAATCGGAACCGGAACTGCGTGGGTAGGCGGGGCAAACAAACCGCCTTGCTGCTCTGAGTTTCGGTTTCCACTCAAGGGGATTGTCACTTGTGACCCTGCTGCTTCCGCTCGAGACAGGCGTAGCATGTAGTCAGTCCCCACGCACTGCCGAAACACCCACTTTGAGAGTAACGAGTGTTTCTGGTTTGCGCAGTGTTAGTCTGCGTCCTTTATTCCTTAGGCATAATTCTACGGGATTAAGATTTAATCATCTTTATCTGTTCGACTAGTATTCTATTTCTTTATAAACCAGGAGAATGCAGAATGTCCAGCGTGATGACGCACGCCTTTAATCCGATCACTCAGGAGGCAGAAGTAGGATGCCTGCTCCAAGCCAGCCAAAGCTACCCAGTGGTGACACTGTCTCAAAAAAAAAAAAAAAAAAAAAAGAAAGAAAAAAAATTTTACCATCATAATAAAAAGCAGGGAAAAAAATACTAAAATGGAATGCTCAGTACATACACGAATTGCTGAGTTTTCCAGTTGAGTTCCTAGCCAGCAAATAATTGGGTGACATGAGGTTTTCTTAGAGACGCGCCCAGCCATTGAGTAGATCAAAGCGAATTTTGTGTTTTTTTAGAAACCTCTCCCATTTTTGGTAATGTCAAATGGTAGATCTTGTCTCCTACTTCACTGCACACCTACTAAAGGTATCGGATAACTTATTTTCTGGAATTTGGGTCACCTGCCTTCAAAACTAACCATGAATCCATATTAAAAAACTTTTTTTCTTTTGTATAAGCTCCTGTATCATAATCCCCTTTTCTAACACAGTTTAGCTATCTCTTGCTTAATTAAGAAACCAGTTTGTTATTGTCTACAGATTGTTGTTTTTCGAGACAGGGTGTTTCTCTGTGTAGCTTTGGAACTTGCTCTGTAGACCAGGCCTGCCTCTTCCTCCCAAGGCTGGACTAAAAGTGTACGCTGCCACTGCCCAGCTACTGCTTACTGATTTTAAAGTGAGAATCAAGTAGTGTAAAAAGTTTAAAGAAGTGAACTGTTTGCCCATCCTTCTTCCAAAGAACCAGTAACATCTAGTTGGCCCTTCCAGAGTGCCCTTAAGGCATAGAGGGAAGTTACTTAAAATGACACAACTCTTCCAAACCCCAACTTACCACATGAAGACCTAGAATCAATTCTACACTGGGAACATAAGTAAATCCCGTTTATGGTACGCCTAAATACTTTTCTCTATGTATAAATAAGCCTGTTATTTAAGGATTTATTGTCCACAAGCCCCAAACCAAAAATGTCAAGAAGTTATTAAAATCTAACACCTTTATTAAAATTGTAACTCCAGCTCCAGGTATCTGACACCCTCTTCTGACTTCTGTGAGCACCTGCATACATAAGTAAAAATATGTAAAAAGATCAATAAAAACCCATATATTTTAATTGAACTAATTAAAATTTATTAATATTTAATTGATAATTCTGCCTATGGCTTGTGGAGCTCACAGAACTTTATAGTCAGTCCTGTCCATCCAATTTTACGCAGACCATATTTATTTTTAATGCTTTTTAAACTCACATGGGATCAGAGGAACCACTTAAAGGGCGGGAATTTTGCCTCCACCTGTCTGCCCCTTACTCTCAACGGTCAGAAAAGGGCATCAGATTCCCTGGAATTGGAATTAAAGTTTCCAGCCTCCGTATGTATGCTGGGAATCAAACTCATTTGTGTCCTTTACAAGAGAACAAGTAGTCTTAATTCTCAATCCAATCAGAATTTGCTATCTACTTGAAAATGTAGAGAAACTACCAGTAAACCATGAATTTCAATGCAAAAGTGGTGCTATCACTACTGTGGTTATGTCCTTTCAAGTTGTACATTATAATATAAAATGATCACACTATTTAGCAAGCACATTAAATCATGTTAGACCTTACAAGGCAAATTAACTCTTGTGCAACACATTAAAATGTTTATTTAAAAAACCTCAATATTTGCAATCAACCTATACAATTTTACTGTGCATCATTCAACTATTTTTTTTTTTTTCTCCCTCAACTTTTGAGTTCCTTGAAAAGACATCTTTGGGACAGAAGAGAAGGCTGAGAGGTTAAGAGCACATGCTGCTCTTCTAGAGAAGTGAAGTTCCTAGCACAACAAGCAGCTTACAACTAACTGTAACTCCAAAAGGTCCAACGCCATTTTTTGGCCTCGGACACCTACACATTAAGACAAAAAAAAAACAAAAACAAAAACAAAAAACTGAAACAGCTAGGTATGGTTACAGACCACCTATTGAGTTCCAGTCTAGTCTGAAAAGAACAAAATTTTGTCCTAAAAACAGGGAGGGTGTGGCACACACCCATACCAGCACACAAGAATACTAGGCTGGAGGATTGCTACAAGTGGAAGGCCAGCCTCAGTTACATAGCAAGCTCAAGGAATATGTAACAAGACATTGTCTTAGGCTTCCCCCTCCATTCAAATATTAGATGGTCCTTGACAGTTCTGATCATTTTTTACCTTATATGATGGCTATTTTTCTTTTTGCTTTGTTGAGACAGGGTTTCTCTGTGCAGCCTTGGCTGTCCTGGAGCTCACTCTGTAGATCAGGCTAAACTTTAATTCAAGAGATCCACTTGCCTTTGCCTCCCTGGAAGGACTTGCCTGCTTCCCCTCTCCTTGACAGCATATACATTACCTCATTGGCATTGGAGCCTACTTAGGGATTCCAGTATATACTGAAGACTGGATGAGATACCCAGCCTTTTGGGACTGGACAACTATTAGATTCTTGAACTTTCCGTTCACAGCTAGCCATTGTTGGACTGTAGCCTCTAAGTTGTTCCAATAAATTCCATATACATACACCCCCCCACACACACACGTATATTAAACGAATATATATTTATAAGTTCCTTTTCCTTTCATTTTTTTTGAGACAGGGTTTCTCTGTGTAATAGTTCTTGCTGCTCTAGAACTAGATCTGTAGACGGGGTTAGCCTCTGCCTCCCAAGTACAGGGATTAAAGGTGTGTGCCACCACTGTCTGACTCATTTCTTAAATTCTGAGTCTAGAAAACCCTAATACAGACGGTGTGAAAGTAGTTCCCATTCCGTAGACATCTTTCAAATTTAGCACTGATATTGGGCTAATACACCATAACACATTTGCTGTGACTTCCAATTAGCACAACTATGGAAAACAACTCATCTTAGAATCAGCCCTGGTTCAATTTGGCTACACTTACACCCCAGTAACAACTATGTGTTTGATAGATGGAGAAGATGTATTTTTGAAGCCAGGTGTGGTGGGGTATAAACGGGATGCCAGCCCTCAGTAGCCAGAGCAGGAAGACCCAGTGTTCTAGGCCAACCTCAGCTACAAATTTTTATGTGCTGGATTGCAAACATTACAGGCATGTGCTACCACCTCCTAATGGTACTAGAGTACTCAACGCTACTTAGTACTAGAGTTATCACTTGACATATGCTAGGCAAGCACTTTACCAGTCACTCAAATCCTCAACTTCAGCATTTTTATTACAGAAAATTAAGACACTACTCAAAATTTCATGTAGGTTATATAGTCATTTCCAAACATGATTTCTAAAATGTTTGGAGGAAATTAAAAAAAAAAACCTATAAATTATTCTTAGAAGACATTGTTAAAAAGTAACCCCTTGGAGTAAAATTTAGACATAATGTTTTTCCTTTTGGGAGAAGAAGAATTCAAGAATGGGTCTTACTGTGTAGCCTTGGCCGGACTCAAACTCAAAGAGATCCATTTGCCTCTGCTTCCCAGGTACCACTACATCTGGCTTATTAATATTTAACAGGAAAGTTCCCAGATATAAATTAGTATCTTATATCTCTGGATCAAACATTGTGTCGTATGTTCCAGTCCAGGGTAGCGTGGAACCCATCTGTCACCATAGGTTGGCTTTTATTTTCAAAAAGTGTGAACTCATTTAAGATTAGCAGTATTAACATGAAGTTCTGAAACACAGCAATTAAAACTTTGTATGAGACTTGGTCCCACTGTAAAGTAATTCTGTTCAGGCCAGCAAAGTACTGCTCTTTCTATATTTATGCCAAACATAAGTAATGGTACTTTTGCATTCAGGATGTATAATAAGTTATAAGTTAAGATACTCTCATCCCAGAGAAACCCTGTCTCAAACAAACAAACAAACAATAAAGGATGCTCTCATTCAAAGGCAGCTGAGTAAGCCAACTGCTGCAACTCCTAAGCAGTCATCTTGTGAGATGTGTACTCCCCAAACGATCCAGGAGCTCTCAACACTAAGTATAGAAAGCATTCATATTAAAAGTATAAGATACCTGGACAGATGAACTTACACAAAGTAAAAATAAACTTATTAGAACCAGTGAGATTTTTTTTTCTTTGACATCTTAATTATTTCAAAATCATCCGATTCAAATTTTGTTACTTAGGAAATTTTGAAACACTCTGAATGTTCTGTAATATCAGATCTGTGGGAATGAGACTTTTTTTTTTTTTTTTTTTTAAAGAATTATCAGTGAGGGCCAGAGAGATGGCTGAGAGGTTAAGAGCACTGGCTGCTCTTCCAGAGGTCCTGAGTTCAATTCCCAGAAACGACCTAGTAGCTCACATCCCTCTATGAGATCTGATGCCCTCCTCTTGCATGCAGGCCAACATGCAGACAGAACACTGTATACATAATAAGTAAATCTTAAAACAGAATTATTAGTGAAAAACTGAATCAGAGGACCTGAAGAAATTTTGTAATTCTAAGAATCCAAGTGAACAATACAGTGATCAAAATCTTTTTGTTCTCCTCCAAGACAGGGACTTCTCTGGGTAGCCTCTGCT